TATTTATAGTTAAGATAATATTTTCGAGGGAAAAAAAAGTAAGAAAGTGTAAAATCAATGACAATAAGTAACAATTCTGGTAAGTCGATATAATTAAAAAGTACACCTCTGATTTTATAATAATTTATTGATAATGTTGATATGTTGGGGATGGAGGTCGCTCCAAACGGCCCGATGTTTTTGCAGGCCATCTTTTTTATCGATTTTGTGATCAAATTATCTTACGATCTAAGTACAAAGCAAATGGGTATTTACGAGTTTTTAGCACCTAATTAAATAGACAATGGTTGCTGTACTCTAGAATGAAAACACGCTAATTTCGAGAATTTTCGTAAATAAAATATTTGTAGGTTACGATGAGATGAAACTATTTACAAATTTTTAGTCGGATGTTAATAATTCGATTAAAAAGAAGCTGCACCACGGAATAGAATGATGGCACTGAACTAAGATATGGATTTTTTTGTTGCATCAGTTTCTCATAAAAATGGGTCAATACATTTTTTAAATCATTCTAAATTTTATTGGAAATTTATTAAGTTGCATATTTTTTCATTTTTAACCAAACTTTTATTTGTGTGTTAGGCTCAAAACACTAATAATATGTATATTTCGATTAATTGAATTAGTTTTAGGCGTATGAAGTGTTTTAATGAATAAAAATAAATGAATGTTCATATATGAGAAACTGTAGTATGGCTTTTAATATTAACTTTCAGCAAAGAATATTTATGGTACATATGTGTGTGATACCACTCCTTTCTCATATTAATACCTATTTTTTCTTGAATGTTTCTCAATTAAATCAATAACTTTCTCAGTTACCAGGTTTTTTTTTTATTTAAAAAACAATTCTGTTATGTATTTGTGGATATCAATTTATAAGAGTAAATATATTAACTTATGTATTTTTTAAATATTTTTTTTAAAGATAATTATATCCCTGAAATTTTACATAAACTTTAATTTGGTTTTTAAAACCATTTTCTCGATAAAGGCACTAATGACTTTAATTAAACTGGGCATATCAATTTCCAATTAAATGGTCTTTGATGTCAGATAGGTTTTGTCCTCAATAAAATATACTGAGAGAGCTTAAATGAATTTTCAAAACGTCTTCTTACAAAGTACTTAAAAAATACCTTTTATTTTATTTATTGATAGCATCTTTTATTGTGTGTGTTTGCTAAAAAATGTATAAATAAATGAAAGAATTGAAGAAATAACTAAATAAAAAAATTCTAGATTTTAAAAAAATTTCTTGAAATTATATTATCAATATAGATATGTAGTGTACAAAAATAAACGTAAATATCTTTGAAAAAAATACGTCTAACATATATAGTTATAAAAAAGTATTAGAGAGTTATAGAAAAATAGTAACTATTTTCATGGATGATAAACTTCATTTCCAAGGAAATAATGAGTAAACTTTTGGCATTTATAATGTTCAACTCAATAAACTGAAAATACATTTGACTTCTGTTAAGTCGACTTTATAAAAAGACATCTCTATCTTTAGTATATTTAAATTAAAATTACTATTCTAAAATATACTTATAGGAAATACAATTAGAGTAAAATTAACATGAACACTTTCTATTGCTAAAGTTCGTTTAAAGTTTACAATACACTTAAATTATCTAGTCAAAGTTTCACTTAGACAGATATTGTAAAATTATTATAATTGAATAAAATATTGTAAAATGAATAATATAATAAGTAATATTAATTAAGTCCGTTGCTCTCTGACAGGTATAAAATACGTATTAATCATTTTAAATACATTTTTTTATTTAATATAATTTAATTTACGTCTAAATTTGTTTAATTATAAACAAATTTATTTATGGAAAAAAAAAATAAAAAGATTTCTCCATTCACACCTATCAGAAATACAACCAGTGAGTATTGTGTCGTGAAATAAAATAATGTAAGACATTGATAGGCGTAAAGGAGATGCGTGGCAAGAAGCATTAATTCCAATCTTGATTTTGAATATTTATAGTTAGTGGCGGTGATCCCTCATCCAGCTTCTTTTGATCCTCCTATAGGTGTCGTCGCGAATGTTAGTTGTGATCATATCTTATATTACTGAGTTTTTATTACCGTATTAGTAATTCTGAAATATTTTATTGTATGTTGGTATCATACCTGGGCGTAATTTCAAATACATTTTGTTTTCTTTAAATATGTATTTACTCTTATAAATTTATTGTCAACAATCAGCAAACGTGCTTAAAATAGGAGAAATAATGGCATGCAAGGACAGTACTTAACAGCACCTCTTCCCTAATTTGATTAAATTATTTAGGTTGTTTAATAATTTAAAATATTTTTTTTATATTTTGCATTTTAAGAAGTAAAATATATATATAAAAAAAAGTTGTTATATTTCCAAGATACAATAATACAAAATATGTATTTTATTTTGTATTATAAATACACAAAATAAATTATCAAATAGAGTAGGTTCCGTGTATTACAAGCTGATCTTCCAGTAGGAAGATTTTTGTATTTATATTATGTTTTTTGTAATAAAATATAATGTACTTTCATTATTTTGTTTTTGAAATACTTTGTAATTTAAATACAATGTATTGAAAAAAAATGGTATTTTAAATGCTGTATTTTAAAATAATAATTAAAATAGGTTTTGTCCAGGTCTGGTTTGTATGTGGTGCATGACAGTTGTTGCATTTTGAAATCCAAAACACAACAATAATTTCAAAGAGATGGGAATTTTAGGACTTAGTTGTTCTAAACGAGTATTTATTTTCGAGAAAAAGATTTCAGTAATTATATTAAGATTAATAATTTATTTATTTTAATATATAAGTTGATAAAATAGCTTGTAAATGCCATATTCAAATTAAGTTTTCAATTTCGTGCCCGGAATAAAATATTTAAAATAGGTCAAACTTGGATGGGGGGGGGGGCAATATAGCAATATTGGGGGGGCTGTCACTAGGGATAACGATATCAGCTCACGAGAGGAAACTGCGCGGGTTCGATATCGGCAAGTGGTGTGAGATAGCTGCCCGAAAATGGCCAGTCTATAATAATGGCTCTTCTCGAGTATTTTGTCTTGTTATTGTGTGTATGTGTATTTTTACAAAAATTGATCGCAAAACTATCATTTTATAATGAATAGTAATTGATAAAGTTGAAGGAAATATTGTTTAGAAAATAAAATAAAAAAAACATTTGTTGGTTATAATAACAAGAAACATTTAATATAAAATAGTTAAATCAAGTTGGTCTATTCAACGATTTATTTAATTATTAGGTTGTCAAGTCAATTAGCTTGCCAATTATTAGCAAATACAATGCTGGAAAATATCTCTTCAGTTTAATGGTTAAGCATTAAGAGACACGAATTGAGTTTTGGTCTCCCACAAAACCATCGAATTCTTCTCAAATACACTTTTCACAATTTAAAATCTATAGTCCTTATTAGAAATAAAAATCACCTTTATTCTGGAACTAAGTCCCTTAAGAATAACAATATTGTTCATACCAATTAACAATAAATTTGGCCAGATGATCTATTACAATAAAGAATACCTAAAATATAAGTATATAACAGCTTTGAGGATATATTATAAAAAACGGATGGATACTAGTGTTATAATGATATAATATTGGTGAAAAAAAAAACATACAAATAACTAAATGAAATTAAAAATAAACGCTAAATAAGTTTTATAAGCAAACCGTTTTAGTGTTAAAATATAAAAATAAAAAAAGATATCTAGGCTAAGTAAACGATTTACATCTGTTCCTTAAGAAGTTTAAGTGAAAGCACATAAAGATATTGTGAAAAACTAAACAAGTATTATGATCTACCTATAAACCGATAGATTAGAGAGGATTGTGTAGAATATAAATAAAAAATAAAATACTTATAAATAAAATAAAATACATTTCTAAGAAATACAATCTTATGTATAGAAAAAGTAGAAGTTAAGAAAGGAAAAAAAATTGTACCTACTCACAATGTTTTGTGAAAGGTAATCGAAATTCTGTTTCATACTCAAAACAGAAGGAAAAAAAGTAATGTATAAAGAAAATTAAAACCTTTATGTTGTAATATTATTTATTAACGTGAATTATTACTATACATTATTTACATTATTATTAATTAATTATGTTATTAACATTCGTTAAGATGAAAATTGATTTTATCTGTATAATATTGATAAAAAAGAAAACAAAGGTAAGTGCTTTAGACCACACGATATAAGTTAAACATCATACAGGCGAGAATAATGTGAAATATAAATTATAAATAGTAAGTCATTATGAAGTGGATGCTAAACATATCCAGATACAGTATGCAGATCTGATTTTTAGTTTCTGAGATATTTTAATCCACATCGTTATCGTTTAGTTTACTGCATTATTTTTTCCTTTTCGCCTCTCTGACACGGCGTTGCGTCAAGATACAATTTTGAATTATAGTCTATTACAGAGAGGATGAAATGCTGAACAATTCTCTTCCGATTTTCAGTTTTGAGATATTTTAATCCATATGCAAAAATATTTCAATTAGTGGACTCGAACCGACATTACCCGAGCGTTACCCATCGGCAATCTTACAGCTTAATTCAATTCACTCTCCAGAAAAAAGTAAAAAACGTGCCTTGAGAAGTTTTCTCTTCAAAAACTATAATTGGTGTTTTATTTGAATGCGAAACCTGGTGGTTCATCACAATATCGACCTAATGTCAGTGTAAGTATTTATAAGTGAAATGAGGAATCGTTATCTATAACCTGATTCACGTTTTATTTATAACTCTTTAGTCGTTACCGATTCTGCTATTTCCGCTGGCTAATTGGGTTTTTTTCTTCTGTTGGAACCACCCACACACATTGAAGATCAATGGCTCATTATTCATTCATCCCCTAAGCCGTAGTAGTCCCTCAAAAGCTATTCCTGTGGGCGTGGATCGAACCCGCTAGACGCTCACTGCTTGCAGTTTTAATGCGAGCGAGATATGAACCGATGCCGTTTTGTGACGCCTGAGCTATTAAAGACTGAGAGAAGTGAGATCAATACTCCTCCGACCTACCCTTACTACCTTACTCTACGCCTCGCACCTCCCAGCGCGCTCTCTCTTACGGTAGGGGAACTCTTATTCCGGGTATGTCTACACTTTCATGTGAGTAATCTTCATTTTTCGAGCAAGTCCACTTATTGTAAACGATGAATCAGACCTTACCTTATGTTCCCTTCTTTATGTTATTTAGTCGAAAAACATTTTTCCACTATGAAATAGTTAACATGAAAATATAAAATAACAATTCAGAAGAAGTTATTCGAGGTTGTATTATCCATCGTTTCGACGATGTAGGTCTTCTTCAGGGCTAAAAAAGATACAAACAATATATGTTAATTTTTCCAGGCTACAATAAATGGTAAATAAAATATTTCTTAGTTCTCACTATTGTCATTATTCTAACAATTTCATTTTACGTTATATATATATATATATATATATATATATATATATATATATATATATATATATATATATATTTTTACCATCACTACTTATGTTTCTCATACCTTGTTATCTGGTTATTTTCTTAGCCCTGATGAAGGCCTGAACTTCGGGTCGAAACGTCGGCATATGTAAAAATAAATATTATCATTTATTTTTTCCTTCTTTTTTGACTGACCACCCCAACTGTTTTTCTCTTCATTATCCATTTGCCAATTATAAATAAAATATTTGTTGATATTGAAATATTACAACTTATTAGAGAAAGTAATTGTGGAAATCTCAAGAAATCCTATGCTGTAATTGTACCATATCATATTATGATATATTATTAGTGTTGCCCAAATGCGAGACCCAGACGAGTCTTGGTCTTGCAAACTCAGTTTGGTCATTGTCTTGGTCTTGCACAGGAGTCTCGCAACAGTCTTACAGTACTGTATTTTGTAGATAGGAGAAACCTAACTAAGCCTGAATGAAAAATTAGAGGAATTAAATGCAAAACTATATTGGTTATACCAATTATTTACATATAGTAACTAAGATTGTCGAGTATTAGTAACTATTTTGCCTTAATTTTTTATTAAAAACATCGACTTTTTTTACCAGTCCTGGTCTTGGTCTTGCAACAGTTAGGCGGCCTTGGTCTTGGTCTTGCAAAGTTCAAGACCAAGACCGATATTGGGCAACACTATATATTATGACTACAACTTAGGTCGAAACGTTGGACAGTGCAATAAATATACTACTATTTCATATACCCCGACTAACTTCATCTGAAATATTTATTATTCAAGGTATTTGTGAACTTTTTTTTTTCTTTCGTATTTATTTTATTAGTATACACCATAGAGAACTAGATACACATTAATTCTTCCATATTCATAAGACGTAATTTAATTTTTTTTTTGTTTTATTACAAATAAAATAGTAAAATAATTCCAAGATCATCTATATATTATCTAGAACACTGTTTCAGTTCTAAGTGAAACTCCTTGCTAAACACATCTCTCCGAAGAAGACCTGCAAAGTCGGGTCGAAACGTTGGCTTTTAATAAAATAGTTTTGCCACTATTCAGCCTATTTATGACCACCACCCCGGACTATCTCATACCTATAATAATATTGATATATAATAACTTTTTTTTCCTAATTGTTCCTGATAATCTCGGTTTTAGATATAGTAGATTAGGCTTTACAGTACTTACGCAGTTAAAATTAAACATTTACAATATTACAACAATTATTCTTCCAGCTATCCCTTGCAGATGTCCTTTGCTAAATATTTTAAAGGATAAGATGCATCTCAAGGAGCTTGGGGGTTCGAGAGTGAGATGCATATATATAGAGAGGGAAGGACGAAGGATATTTATTTCATGTTTTATTTATGCCCTGATCGATATGGCATGCTGACAATCGATTCTAGAGCAGATAAATTTTGAATAGGGATAGGGCTGTCCACAGGACGACCCCTAACGACCACGAACGCTTTGAAGCTGCTTGTGTTCCTTAAAACGTTTCCCTGGTACTTCTTATATTCCGTCAGTGGGGTCAATTGCCTACTTAAAATGGCTTTATATACCTTTAAATAAATGCTTCATACCTGTCAAAAACGTTGATTGTGTGTCAGTTACTCTTTCTCTACAACTTGTTAATGTCAAAACCATTTATTATGACTTTTTTCAATTTTTTTGCTTTCTCACTAACCCAACTTGGGTTGTTTTGTTTTTATGCGGCCGTTTAAAAACCAAGGAATAACGTAGAATCTATACCTTATTTGAATTATCAATACTTTCGGATTATCAAAAGTTAAAAAAAAATTAAAATGATGAGAACTTGCACAAGTTAACGAAAATATATGTATTATTTTTTATTTTTACATAAATTAGGCCAATAGTCACCAACATTTTATTGATACGCTATTTAATTCGACGTTTCGACCATACTAAGGGTCATTTTCAAGTCTTGATGAGTCTTTCGTTATATATTCATCATTAATGTCGCTAATAATATGTTCAGTAAACATTAAATTGTCATGCTCTATAGGGGTTTCGCCTACGTCATATCTGGAGAGAATCTATATCGTCTCTCTAGAAATGACGTAGGTGAAACCCCTATAGAGTATGACAATTTAATGTTCACTGAACAAATTATTTGCGACATTAATGATGAATATATAACGGAGGACTCATCAAGACTTGAAAATGACCCTTAGTATGGTCGAAACGTCGAATTAAATAGCGTATCAATAAAATGTTTGGTGATAATTGGCCTAATTTATGTAAAAATAAAACCTCAAGACACAAAAATCAGGATAAATGAACAGAAGATATATGTATTATTAGTTAAATATAAACACATTGCAAAGAAATAAATTATATAGGTTAAAAATATTCTCTATAGCTTTGCTGACGATACGCTAATACTTTCTTCATACAAAAATCCCACTATCGCTTCAATAGCCCTTCAAAATCCCCTGCACGACCTTGAAAAATGGTTTCACAAATGGAGAATTAAAATCAATCCCAGCAAGTCAACTCATGTTACCTTCTCCCTGAGGAATAGCTCGTGTCCTGCTGTGACAATAGACAATAAACCAGTTCCCTCAAAAACACATGTAAGGTATCTCAGACTATACTTGGACAAAAAAACTCACCTGGAACATTCACACTACATTAAAAAAAACAAGAACTGACTAGACGATACAAACAACTGTCTCATCTTTTGGACTATAGATCTCTACTCAACTTACTAAACAAGCGACTAATCTACACCACTATACTAAGACCTATTTGGACATACGGAGCAGAACTTTGGGGTTCCGCAAAACATAAACAAAATTCAAACCTCACATTCCAAAACACTTCGTAAAATCGTCAATGCTCCTTGGTTTATTACAAATCACACCATGCACACCGATATGAACATACCAAAAGTAAAATCCTACATACAAAACAAGTACACAACATTTCACTCTTCTACTCTCAATCATCCAAACCAACTCTATCTCTATCTTCCTCCCTTTTACCTGGTGAGCCTCAAAGACGACTAAAAAGGCAGTGGCCTAGAAATCTTCTGCTGAAAAGTTAAGAAAATATCAAGAATTCAAGATGATATAATAAACTCCAACACATTTGCTTGATGCGTTACAATGCAGTGGCAAATTTAATGAAAAATAAAAAAAAAAGATCTGAAGCTAATCTACGCCGAGTCTCTGATTTTCTTCCAACAGAAAACACCCGATCTTCTAAATTCTTAAAAAATATTAGGCTTCAGTAGTCGGTGTTTCGTTCATTCGCCCACCATTAAAAATCTGAATCCATTCAAGCCAATGTTAAATGCTTTTAAAGCGTTTCTATGATTTGTACATTATAAGAAATAAAATGGATGTAAAGAAATTTTACAGTGAAATAAAAAAAAAGGCTTCCATATAATCCGTGGTACTGAACCCTTTTTATCAAATTATTAACATTCTCTAGAAACTTTGTGGCTTCATCTCATCATATCCTACAACTATTCCTATTCGCACTTAAAAAATTACTTATGATTTGCCGGATTCGAACTCGGATCCTTGAGCTTGAAAGTCAGTGCCTTACCACGGAGTTAACCCGCTTCCTATATATATGCGTGAGTGTGTTTATTATTTTTAAATAATTTTTTATTATCTAAAATAAATGAACGGATTGTATTAATAATTAATAACTCTCACACGCACACACACACACATGAATAAAAGATAAAAGTTATTTAATTATTTAAATTGGCTTCAGAAGCGAACGAACTTTGTATTTAGATAATCCATCGGAATTTAATGGAACGTATTAACTGAACCGAAACGTTGAGTGTCATCTGGTGTAAGCCGGTGAGTTCAGCCAATGAAATTTGGTTTTACAAAGGTAACGCGAAAGCTGAAACACTTTTTGCTTATTAAGGCTCCATTGTCCACAAAATAAATTTAAAATTTAATGGATTTATGGTCCCTCAACCGTGTATTTGAAAACATTACTCACCTACATTAAAAAAAAAAATGAAAAGAAAAAATGGAATGTGACCCCTTAACTTTCACATAAATGCTTTTATATTCGGTACAAAATAACTTTATTTATAATGTTTGTTTATTTACAATAGCTTTTCAAAAGAAAAGCGATAATAACAAAACTTTTATTTTTTTTCTTTCCTTCAAAGAAAAAAAAATAGAAGATATAACTTTAGTGAGTATAAATATTTTGTAATTACTAATGAGAGAATGTGTTATTTTATAATTAGCTAAGCTTATGCAATTTCTTAATTCATTTAAAATTTATTCTATATTCTATTCATTTTAACTTTGATGTAGTTTTTATTTAACATTATCATAGAAAACAAAGAAGGAATACATTTTTTACTTTCACTTACCAACATATGAAATACATAGTAAGGTAAAGTATTGCGAACATGAAAATTTTTAAATTCCGTTTTTCCGGAAATACAGGTTTTGAGGTGGCCTTAGTCCAAATAATCAAGTCCTACAAAATGTTCTGTGCGTGTGCTTATGCAACAGCTTAGCTCAAAAACGAATAGTCATACGAAACCGAAATTGGGTATTAAAGGTTTTGACATGATTGGATTTGACAGTAACATTTGGTTAAAGTTGGGTAATCGGAAATGGCTTTTTATATCATCTATTTTACACATTTTGACGATTTTCTCAAAAACGGCTCTAACGATTAAAGCAACAAATTCACTGTATTAATGTATAATTAAGGAAACTTTAATATCATATATATATTATTTCTATTGATGTCGCTTAACAGGGCTTAAATGTCCTCCTGTAAAGTACCTTTAATTTGGTTTATTTCGAATAATTGATTATCTCTCATTTTTTGGAGTTATGAAAAAAGCCTGAATATAACTTTTGAAAGAATTTGATATTTGAATAAAGGAGAAAAAAAAAATAAAAATGCTTAACCTGGTGGAAAATAAATCTCCGGAAATAATAGTCAGAAGGTATACGTTTAATGTATCGTTGGAAAGCGGAGAATTTTTGAAATGATAATATCTAATAAATAAAGTTGTAGAAGGTAACGAAGAGTAATGAAAAACATATCGCCCCATATATTATTACAGTAAGGCTCGAAATCGGTTTTGTACCAAATATAAGCTCGTGTCCTGCTCAAATACCATGAATAGGGTACCGTTGGATTCAGAATTTCACGGGGGGTTAGCGAATCGTATTCTCCTTTTTTGTTTTTCTTTCTAAAATAAATAAAGACGATACAAACATTTTGCTTACACACTAAAAAATTACACACTTTTCCCTTGGTTATGCCCATGATTATATAAAACATTACTAAATTTCCTACAAAATGAAAAAAAAATCATTGAAATCGGACAATATTTAGCAAAGATACAGATATTTCATTAATACTTAATGAAATTTTTATACATGTTGGTTCCAAACAGAAATGAAGATTTAAATTAATTTTTATGTTCTTTGTCGATTATATTTATCGATGAAGGAACATTCGATTTCTTTATCTTTTGATATGTTGCATCATTTTCTTTTCTTATTAATCTGGCTATTGATAACAATATGTTGTGCGAATTTTTCGCACGGGCCTACTAGTACATAATAATTTCTGAAAACTAACATTATTTAAAATAAATCACATGTTTCTAAGTAAATTAATTAAATTTTCTTACTAATGTAAACTTTAAATTTTTTTTTTAAGTTTGAAAAAAAAGTATTTCAATACCGAATCAAGCCACTTGTGTGAAAGAAGATGTGGAATATAAAAATATTTCATGGATATATTCATAACCTAAATACTTAAAGTAAAGCTGAAAGTGAAAGTTGTGTGTTGCGCGCACCAGATTATTTAGTACCTATGTTGCTGCATATTTGACGGTTTTTTATTGCATATTATATGGCATGTATTGTGAGTTTTTACTGCATAAAAATCTGCGTCCTGATTTTAACATAAGAAATACATTAGGAACGAAACCAGAAAGCAACTGCATTCTTATCAATTGTAGTTTGTAAAATTTTGAAATGACACATATATTGTATGAATTTTTATTAATATAGTTTTTGGTCAGATATGAATTTTCTTTCTGTCTATATATTGATTTCTTTTCTCGATATCTACATCCATACTGTGACACATACTTTAATTAATTATCAATTGCATTCCTAATAACATAGGTGCATTATTAATTAACATGAGTTAATTATTAATTAATAATAATTTCTGTTTTCAGCTGAAAGCTAGGGCTTGGAGACACGGTGGTGAGACGGGGACGGGGGAATTGCCGGTGTACTGCTGGTGAGGGGAGTGAGATTGAAGACTTGCGCATCACCGTACCTCTCCTCCTGAGGTCACCAAACGCCAGTGCCTCCGGGAGATTTATTTCACTATGTGTATAAAAGACAACACAAGGAGATAAAAAAAACTAAACAAAAAAATCATAAAATGTTTAATGTTAAATGTACCAAAAAAAAAAAGTTGTTACAAAATGGATACATGTAAGCAACGCCATAAGAAGGACGTTATCATCAAATTTCGTATAATTTTTAAGGGACTATATAAAAATGTGCGAGTGCGATAAAATATGAATATATATACAATTATAATAAATTTTTATTATAAAATATATATTAGATTACTTGGAGTACCTATGCTATTATATGTTATCGATAATTATTGTATGTTATTTACTTACTTAAAAATAATAATAAAAAAAAAATGAGAACGAGTTACAAAGTGAGAAAAGAAAAACATATATAAAAAAATGAAAAAAGGTAATAAAATGTACAAAAAAAATTATAATAATAAAAATGACAGTTTATTTTAAAAAAGTTGGTGTGGGAAGGCAACGCTCGCCTCCCATTGAATGTTTATATGTTTCACCTGCGGATCTTAATATTATTGTATAGAGTGATATGTACATTAAATAGAAAATATTCAAATAATCTGTGTTTGTATTTCCCTGTTTCTTCCTATATATGCAAGAAGAATCTTTAATAAGAATCCAAACAAAGCGAATAATATTTACCAAAGCCCGCTATCTGTCAGAATTTGAAAATATCAGAAGTTGAAAGTACAACTGGAATCCTCACTCACACAAGATTGTATTTACAAAAAAAAAAAACAAAAAAAAAAGAATCATATTACCATAATGTGGTACACAGGTGGATTTACGGGGGGAGGGCTTTCCGACTGAAGCCCCCCCCCAAAATGGTAAAATATAACTATGCTTTATAGAAAAAAATATTAAAAACTATCTCCTAAAGTATTGTTGTTAGTGTAGTTACATTTAATAGCACTTCAAGAACCACTTAATCACCATTTCATACAGGTAGTTCATTTCTTTCTTCTTTTTTTCTAATTAATTATTATTATACGTATATGAAAAAAATCCTTCGGGCTGAAGTCCTCCCCCAAAATTAAATCCTGGATCCGCTAGTAATGTGGTAATATGATTCTTTTTTTTTTCTTTTTTTTTTTTTTAATGTGACCTATATAAGCATATGGAATTGATCTTTGGGGCTCTATCAAAACCAAATTCCATCTACATCCAATCTTTACAATCCAAAATCCATAGAAGAATTCTACACATTTGGACTCCTTCAATCAAAAACTTCGTACCCATACCTCTAATTCTTCGTTACCTTTTTGCCTCATTTATTCCCGACAATCCTCCTAGGTTTCTGAAAATCAGATGGTCATGAGACCTCTCAACTAATTATTAAAGTACTACCAATGGAAATTCCCTTCACAAGTTTTTTTTTGTACAATCTTACTTAATATATTGTATGATTAAAGTTGTGAACTTCGTTTACTCATCGACAGCTCAACTTTAATCTAGAACTATTTACTAACAATTAGTTTAACCTAAAGTTATGAATGAGTTTCTGAGATGGAGACATTATTCTAAGAAGATTTAAGTAAGTAGAAATTCGCAACAGACCTATTACAAATTTAAACTTCATAGCATATTCAACGAAGAAGTTAGTAGTTTTATATTTAAGGGCCGTTTCTTTGAATTATCTTACATATTTAATTCCTTTTAATATTTCATGGCATGTCCTTTATTGTTACAATGTATAATATAACTCAATAATAACAATTCATAACAAAAAATCCGATGTGGTGCGCACATCACACAGCTTGCACTTAACACCCTCTTCTTTGCAGAAATAATTATTTATAGATAAAGGAGGGGGAAGTAAAAATTATAGATGGTATGTAACATTATATAAAATAATTAATTACCTTATGTTTTTCATTGCCGGCTAATTTATTATATTTCAATTATTTATTTTATTACAATAAATAATGAAGTGCCACGAAATATTTTTAATCCGACAAGAGTGACACTGATAAAGAAGGACGCTATATTTATTTATATTTCATTGTGGATATTCTTATTCGTTTAAGTACTGGTACACATACAAATTTGAATTTTTACAACACTGTAATCTATATATAATTAAATATTATCGATTATAATACAAACGATAGCATTTATGTAAAACGTATATGTTTATGCATACAATATCTTCCGAGTCCGTATTATATTAAGCTCATGTTACGTAAGGAAGCCTGGTCCAATCATTCGGGGTCGCTCGTGTATTCCATTGGTTCTTGTATTACAACTATTCTTCGTTACGATCTATTATTTCTCTTTTGGTTAATTATCAAATTCTTTCATATTTTAACCATTTTTATATACCTGTAAATTATTTCAAATCAAAAAATTAAAGGTACTTCAGAAGAAGGTATATTGAAAATTAGCCATTTAAGTACTTTTAGACAACATTTAGGAGAATAAAACCTACTTTAAATTAAAACCACTTAACAATACTCTGACGTAATGAGTTTGAACAAAATCATTTAAGCCGTTTTGAGAAAATCGTATAAATGTGTTGAATCGTTTATATAAAGTACCACTTCCGGTTTGCCGATTTTGGCAAAAAAATTGTCACCATATACAATCCCAGGAATATACAAACCATAAATCTGCATTTTCAGTTTCGTACGACTTTTCGCTTTGAAGCTAGGTTTTTCATATACAAACATGCATACCTTGTTTGGATTCAGAGGACCTCAAAAGTCTATTTTCGTTGATAACTCAGATTCGAAATTGTTTCACGATCGCAATACTGCTCTTATTATATATTTCATTCATATATAAATAAAAGTAAAAAGATTAGTGGTAAATAGATATTAATTTGATTTAGAGTTCAATAATATACGTTATAAAATTAACATAAAAAATAAAATATCCTTATCATCTTAAAATAACTTTAGATGACCAAGCAGCAAGAGTATATTTATTTTATTAAGTTGAAAATAAATTTAATTTTATCCTTAACAAGAATTTACTAAATCTTAAAAAGTTTTCATTGAACGGAAAATTATTGAATACTTTTTTAAGTGAAAACTTCTTTAGGCGCGTTTTGGATTTTTTTTTGTGGAGAGAGAATTAGATTGAATTGTCAGATCTCCGATTTGTAACGCTCGGGTAAAGTCGTAATAATTAAAGTGTTTTATAAAATGGATTAAAATATCTAAAAAAATATTAATCTGACCTGCGTATTTTAAGCAAAGGAAAATTTCTCTTTGTACTAGTGAAATACTGTTTGTAATGAGCTATTATTCAAAATTGCATTCTAACGAGACGCCGTGTTAGTAAGGTGAAAAATGAAAAATAATGTCTAAAACCAAATTATAGCGAGTTTTATTGAAGATATTGATTAAAATACCTCAGAAACCAAAAATCGGATCTGCATACTGTATGCAAAGGAAATGTTCAGTATTTCACTCTCTTTAAAATAAACAATTATTAAAAATTGTATCTTAATGCGACGCCGTATTAGGGAGGCGGAATGGAAAAAAAAAGTATTGTCGAAAACCTAATGATAACGAATTTTTTTTTTAAGATATGGATAACAATATTTTAAGAAACTAAAAATTGGACCTGCATACTGTAAGGGAGGGAAATTTCACCCAAGCATTTTACCTTCTTAATATTAGATATTATTTCTAATTCTTATTTCATATAAATAAATAAATTCGCTTTTTTGATATTTTAACTTCTATCGTGTGGTCTAAAACATACACCTCAGTTTTATTTAATAATGAATAAATAGATAAGTCGAAAATACGTCAAAATGTCGAAAATAAATATAAGCGAGTTAAACACACCGGCAAGTTATATTAAATAAATTTAGACTAATAATGCTGATTAGTGTTGCCCAAATGCGAGACCGAGACGAGTCTTGGTCTTGCAAACTGAGTCTTGTCCATGGTCTTTATATTGCGCAAGAGTATTGCAACAGTCTTGCAGCTACTTATTAGCTTATTACTGTAGAGATATTACTATAATTTTTTAGATAGAAGAAACCTAAATAAGCCTCAATGAAAAATTAGAGAAGTTAAATGTAAAAGTATATTGGTTATACCAATTATTAACATGTAGTAACTAAAATTGTCGAGTATTAGTAATTATTTTATCTTAATTTTTATTTAAAAAATCGATTTTTCTTACCAGTCCTGGTCTTGGTCTTGCAACAGTTAGGCGGCCCAAGACCGATTTTGGGCAACACTAATGCTGATTATCATTTTGAAGATCCAATAAAAATATCCAGTTTTAGATTTTGTAATTATTAACCATTCTGATGAAACTAACATGATTTTTTATGACAATAATTATATTTTTATGTATTCTTTTTAAACTGTGACTTTTTGTTCGATGCACAGAAATCCTATTCGATATAGAGAATATACTTTTTTTTTTTATAATAAGGCTCTGGTTATAGGGAAGACGATGTAGTGGAATAAATAAGATATTTCCTCGGCTCCATATCGAGTTATAACGAGAGAAGAGGTCTTTGAAGGTCTGGTTGCGGTGGAAAAACACACCTGTATTGAGGGGGAGGGGAGCAATCCCAAAAAGAAGGTGGTTGTATGATTGGTTTTGTAAATTGGGGCTGAAGGAAGCCGAATAAAAGGGCTCAAAGCAAACGATCTCCTTCGCCTTTTGTGAGGGGGCCATCATTTGTGAACCGTCCTATCACATGCCGGATCCTCTCTTTGTGTACAAACCTTCACAAATAATCTCTTTGTCGGCAACTTATTTATTAAAGTTATAAATAGGAGGAAAAACATACATCTCATATTATATTTTGCTTCATGTAATGGCGTTGTTTAGGCAACTTTCCAAATTTTAATTAAGGCAAGACAAATAATTCTCATGAGTTTTTAATAGGCGAGCAATATACTTATTTATGCCGTAGACTGTATTTTGATCGTTTGGTAGATTAT